ATCATCCTCGAGTATGCGTCGGGTGGTGAACTTTTTGACTACATCCTTAACCACCGTTATCTCAAGGACAACGCGGCTCGTCGCTTGTTTGCCCAGCTCGTGTCTGGTGTTGGATATCTCCATAAGAAGGGAATCGTACATCGGGATCTGAAACTGGAAAACTTGCTACTCGATCGAAACCGCAACATTATTATTACCGACTTCGGCTTCGCCAACACCTTTGACCCCAATGAAGAATTGAGTAAGGAGGAAGAGCTTAATCTCACAGATAAGGAATTTGTGAAGCGAATGGGCTTAGACCGGGTCAAGATGAACGGATCTAGGAAGGGTGACCTCATGCAGACGAGTTGTGGTAGTCCTTGTTATGCTGCGCCTGAACTGGTTGTCAGTGATTCTCTTTATACTGGACGCAAGGTGGACGTCTGGAGTTGCGGTGTCATTTTGGTAAGTCGTGCGATTGACACAGAACGAGAGTTTTGACTGACCATTGTTTACAGTATGCCATGCTCGCCGGTTACCTCCCCTTCGACGATGACCCCGCCAATCCCGAAGGCGACAACATCAACCTTTTATACAAGTATATCGTGACAACGCCTCTAACCTTCCCTGAATACGTCACCCCTCACGCTCGAGACCTCCTCCGCCGCATACTCGTGCCCAACCCTCGCAAGAGAGCGGATCTATTCGAAGTTGCTCGGCACAGCTGGCTGAGTGAATACGCGAACCTCGTTGAATTCATCACAAGCTCGACAACGTTACCATCAGAAGTCCCCGATTCGGGTGTGTCACCAGACGATTACGCCGAGGCCCCAACGATTGCCCGAAGCTCTTCTGTCCGCGAAGCATCGAAGCAAAAACAATCTCATCCTCCTGTTGTTGGAGGACTGGCAAAGACTCATGGCAGTGTCGATCCCGAATCTGAGACTACTCATCGCAGCACACCGAAAGATGCAAAGCGAAGAACAGTCCAGGTTGAATACGTGGCCCCTACGACGAAAACTCAGCGTGGTGCAGATGCCGCGCCTTCAAAACCTAGTTCACATTCCCTCCAACAGCAGGCACCAGTGGATGTGCCTGATGCCAATACTGAGAAGCCTCTTCCTCGTGAACCCCCTATGGCAAAGGACAACCCTTCTCGTACCCAGTCAAGACGTCCACAGAGCTCGCACAAGAGTGCTGTTCCCCACAGGCCAGCTCGCGATACTCGCGCCACTTCCGACAATGCCTTTATGACTGGGCCAGCCAACACAGCAAGGCCAAGGACCCAGGGTTCAATGCAATCTTCTGCATCAATGGGTCTGCAGTCTCATGGGAACTATGGTCAGCCTGCACCTCCCACTATTGCCGATACAAACGCACACGGTCGAATTCAACAGCCTCAGAATCCTGAGGATGAGGAGAACATCGCCAAGACTGTGGGTAGTGTTCCTCCCAAGGTGATGAAGATGTCGACTTTCCAGAATGAGACAAAGTCGGCAGGCAGAGGTCACAAGAGGTCAAACACTCTCGGTGATCTTGGTAACAAGATCATGGGTCGCAGCGGGTCTATCTTTGGGGGACGGTCTAAGAAGCGACCGGAGCAGCAGCAGCAGCCTGACAAATCAAGGAAGTATCCTCCCGTCAGTATGCCCACCACCATGATGCCAGGTGAGGAAGCTGGTCCCAGGCCCTCCATGGAATCAAAGGCATCCCGACGATCATTCTCTCTCGGCCTTGGAAAGAAGCGTAGTGGCAGCGTTCAAGGTTCTAGTGATAAGAAGGACCGTCGGTTCTCTCTGGTCAAGGCGATGGGACTTGGCAAGGACCAGGGAAGTGTAACTGGATCTGAGGCGGATTCACAGCAGGATTTGCCCATCCAACACCCTCGAGCTGAGCAGCTCCGTGGCTACAGCGCTCACGAAGAGGCTCGACATAGCGAACCCTACTTTGACGCCCCCTACGAACAATACCCCCAACGTGATACAGCACAGTCTAGCCCTGTGTACCACACACGCCATACGAACGCTCAACAACAAGATGGCCGGAGACCCAGCGCAATCCCTACATATATACAAGGTAGTCATCTGAACACAGGCTCGGACTCATCAGTGGATGTACGGCGACCTCCCACTGATTCAAGGTCTCGCCCATACCAAGCCGACTTTTCAGAGTCTGAAGGTTATGATGGACGACCAGTCGGAAGCAGTCGCGACGACCGATCAAGTGTGCTCCAGAAGAGCCACAAGAAGTTTGCGGATGCGTACGATGGAGAGAATTACCGTGGGCACGAAGGAAGCAGCGGAGCCGCCAAGCGGGTAATGGATTTTTTCAGGAGACGCGGAAAGGCAAGGGGTGGTGAGGACCGGTGAACAGAGCATGCGTTCAGCACCAGGAGTTAACGGCGTACCGTCTGAGTTTGAAGATCTCTTGTCTGGAAGTTCTGCACCAATGTTCGCAGTTGGATGCCATAATTGTCATTATCTATTATTTTTTTGCCGGGACGCTAAACACCACACACATTCATCTACCAGTAATGAGGGACGAACACCAAGGGCTCTCGACGATGCCCGTACGCAACTTGGAGACCGCCTAGCGTTGGTCCTCTCCATAATGCACGCACATAACTACACATACTCACATCACATCATGGCGTAAGGGGATACGAGATTGAGACTGGGTGGTGGTCCCGGATGGTTATACTGCTCTACACTCTACTACATACATTTACTCGGTTAAGCAAAGTTTGTTGTTTCATAAGCGGTAGATGGGGGAACAAAGATGTGGGCTGGATGACCCAATGTTTCTGTACATTCTGAATCGCCGAAGAAGGAAGAAGGAAGAAGAGAAGAAAAGAGGAGAGGGAGGGACGGAAAGTGTTTTATTTTATTTGTCTGTTCGTATACAACGCATCTCAGCCAGGTTTGTCTCAAAGAAGGCATCAGCAAGCGAGGCCAAAACATTCCAGTGACATGAAATCATTTGGCTTGTGACTTAACTGTTCCATTTGCTTTCAATAAGGAGACCGAAAAGGATTGATCGACGGTGATCAAGTACGGGCGCTTCGACCTGGGCCACAATATATTTACGCGGTTATACATATATGAGATATTGAAGATAAAATCTATGTAGACAATTACTCTTTTTAGGAATTGAGATTTCTGAGCTTTTCGGTTATAGGTATCTATGAGCCGATTTTCTACACGTGAGTTCGGCTGCAATTAGCACTTACGTACCTACTCGGTTATTGCTGTTGGTAATGCCAGATTTTCCCAGAGCCGTTAGCTGGTTGCATTTCTTTCATGAGAGATGATCAAATCTCATATATGTTCATTGCACTAAGGTGGCCCAGGAAATGGCAATATATACTGTTACTTAAACATAGCATCCAGTTGGTATACAAGTATCGTTTAGATAGAGTTCGCAAATACTGATAGTACTCATCCACCACCACAGCTAACCTAGAGTCACGCGACGAGTCATGCTTGATAACGCAGTGGGATATCTTTGCGAAACAAACATCCTCTGTGCAACGGGTAGAACTAGATTTGCGTGTACTTTGTGAAGATATCCGTTGTCCCACGATTGAGATGTAGTGCTCTATGCCTATAAAGACCCCTTGGGGTTTTGAGGGAGAAACCTAAGCTATTGAAACATTTGAGTCAATAGGCGTGGTGGTCTTGGATAGCTGGATTTTTGTAAAGAGGGCGAGGTGCTCAACAAACCAACTGCTAGCCTTCAAACTAGTCACTAGAAGGAAGATACTGTCTTGCTGTTAAGTATAATAGTGTTCATGTGATCTATATGTTAACGTCAGGTTGGCTGGCTATACTCGCAAGTTATATATTTAGCCGTCAACTCTAAATACTATATCTAAGAAGAATAAGTTTCTAACTGTTCTCTAGAGGTAAATTACCTACGCTCTTTAATTCTGAATATCTGACCCAAAGACAGGTAATGTCTTGCGCATCCTGAACCAGTTGTTAAGCTTGAGCAGCCAGCAACAAGTCCCGCTCAGCTTCATTGCAACTGCGTTATCCCCTGGCTGAAAAGCAGTCTCTGGTGGGTTGGGTTACGTGGATTGTATTGCGTTACCAGGGGCGGAGTCCACGAAGCGTATCCGACGGCGTATTGACCAATTCACCATTCGGCTCCGACTCGAGTTACACCCGAGTGGTATCCCCGTGCCGTACACGCTTTGTTGTCATATTGCGTCACTTGGAGGGATGGACACCTACCTAAGCATTGTTATCATTCAAGGGACAACGGTACGTATCGAGTCAAGCCACAGCCAAGTCCAATTCAAGGAAACTTGATTGTGGTCCCTGTCGATCACTTACGCTTTGGGTGGCCAAGCTCCTGTTGTGGTCATGCCAAGCCTCAACCCGGCACCTCACATCCGAGAAAGTCGGGGATATCATCGATAAGCTTGTTTATTCGTAGCGTGTCTCCAGTAGCCTGTTTGTTGGGCCTGTTTTGAGCATTGGCAGAGCTGAGTCTCCTTGTTGGCCTTTGCGATAGAGGCTAGGTAATAGTGATAGCTAATAAGCGTTGATGTTTGTCGAGAATAGTAAATGAGTCACGATAGAACTAGAAACGTCGAGATTCTTTGAAGCGAGCGAGCTCAGGGATCACGGGGCAAACTAGTCCATAGCATCTGATAATCTGAGGCTGCACCGCCTCACTTTGCCTCTGGCAGCACTACATGGAACCAATCAAGCAGAACTATAGCTGGGCTCCCTCACCGATTTCGACGACATCAGAGATACATCACCACGCTAGGCTCATGGCCTGGACAGTTCCAGCCACATTAAAGTGGGTCGCTATCCACTGACGCCACTGGACAACCAGCGTCATCTCAGATCTAGCTCCCGCCTTAAAGCCAAGCCCTTGGCTCTTGGTCCTCCTGCATCGGTTACTTGCAACTTCGACGTTTACCCAAACTCTCACCACGCACAAGACGACTATCTTTTCTGATAGTTCACGGCTTCGCATCACACTCTCGAGAGTCAAACACCTGTTCGATGAAGGAAGCTTCTCCTGATCCACCCAATATAGATGGCAGTCGCTCTGGTGCACAACCCGCAGCGCCCACTGCTCAGGGCTTGAATGAGCACAGCAACAACACTCAACACAAAGAGTTGAACGAAAAACAGAATGGCAGCTCTGGCTCTGTCAACGGCGGTGACCCTCAAGGTCCCAGCCGAAACAACTCCTCTCTTCTCAAGGCCCTCTCTGCTGGCCATGTCCCGTCTCACTCATCGTCTCAGGCTGCACGGCCGGGGTCTGTCATAGAGACTCCCAACAAGGCCGAGGAGCCGTCACAAGAGAAACCCAATTCAACCAGCAAAATGAACAGATTCTTCGCTGAAGTTAAGCGAAGCGTCAAAATTTCCATCTTCCACAGTTGGCTCAACATCCTCCTCATCTTCGTCCCTGTTGGTATCGCAGTATCTCAGGTAGATGGCATTAGTGGAGGTATCGTTTTTGCACTTAATGCAGTTGCCATTATTCCTCTTGCTGGTCTCTTAGCTTTTGCTACCGAGTCTGTTGCCCGAAAGATGGGCGATGCTCTTGGCGCGTTGCTGAATGTCACTTTTGGTAAGTCTACTAAAACACCACACCACACCACACCACACCACACCACACAGAGTCTAATCCGCATGTTTATTATAGGTAACGCCGTGGAACTCATTATCTTCATCTCAGCCTTGACGAAAAACGAGATTCGCATTGTTCAGGCATCTCTATTAGGTTCAATCTTAGCGAATTTATTGCTTATCCTAGGTGCGCTCCCTCCCCTTTGCTGTCACCCACTTCAGAGGTTGGCCAGCGTTCAACTTCAAATAATAACAGTTTCAATTTAGGTATGAGCATGCTTCTTGGTGGCTTGCGCTTCAGAGAGCAAGTCTATAACAGTACTGTCACTCAAATGAGTGCTTGTTTGCTCAGTTTGAGTGTTATCAGCCTTGTTCTGCCGGTATGTTACAAACACCCTATATCTATACGCGTACTAACCATTTAAAAGACAGCCTTTCATGCTTCCTTCCGAGATAATGCTCTCGCTGACCAGCAATCCCTCAAAATCAGCCGTGGAACGAGCATAGTAAGTCTCAAGTTCATACAAAATCATTTGAATATGCTAACAAACATAGGTCCTGCTGCTTGTATACGTCATCTATCTCATGTTCCAGCTCAAATCTCATGCTTACATGTATGAGTCGACTCCTCAGCATATCATCGATGCTGAGTTGGCCCCTGGACCCGCTGCCGGCCTTCTGGATTCTTCCAGCTCTGACGACAGTTCATCCTCAAGTTCAGATTCATCTGACTCTGACTCATCCCACGGTACAATGCGTAAGAAAATGAAGAAGGTCCTACGAAATAGGCGGCATAGAAGATCTAGCACTGCTTCGGTTGATACCGCTGATACCAAAGGAACCCGCAGCACCTCGTTCACAACGACAAACACCACCCCGCAGGATGAGGTCTCTGAGGCAACAGCTTCGCGTCATCGTATTCCTCGCTTTCCATCTTACGAAGGTAGTGAGAGTGCCATTGAAGAAGAGGATGAAGAAGAGGCAAAGCGTTCACGTCGACGCCGTCGATATCGCCGACATAGGCACCGCAAGAGCAAAAAGCAAGCTCGTCATGCCAAGAAGGCCGCAGGCGTTACTGAGGCACAGAATGAGATGCCCGAAAATGCTCTGCAGAATAATGACGAAGGTGAGCCTCGACGTGTGGACTTCGCCGTCCAGGGTGACCTTGAGGCTGGCCCCTCAAACACCGGCAAACGGCCATTTCCCCTTCGGGGATTGTCTGTCAAAAACATCGCCCCCGTTTTCACTGAAAAGTCGACGGTGGCATCTACTCCCGTCCCTCACGTTCGCTATGGAATTAGGCGCACAAATTCTCTCCCGGACCGTCTCCAGTTTCGAGCGCCAGGCGCCATGTTGCCCTCTTCTGTTCCTCCAATCTTGACTGCCCCTGGTGCTCAAATGATCGCCAAGGAACAGGAGAACGAAGAAGAACACCTCACCCAAGCTGGTGCCATCATTCTCCTCCTCGTCTCCACAGCTTTAGTTGCAGTTTGCGCTGAATTTCTGGTTGATTCTATTAAAGAGGTCGTTGAGAATTCTGGAGTCAATGAGGTCGGAATTGGTCTCATCATTCTCCCTATTGTTGGCAACGCTGCTGAACATGTCACCGCCATCAAGGTCGCATACAAAAATCACATGGATCTTGCGATCGGTGTGGCTGTAGGCAGCTCCATTCAAATTGCTCTACTCCTTACTCCCGTCATGGTTATTCTCGGATGGATCCTGGACAAGGACATGTCTCTTTACTTTACACTATTTGAGACCGTCTGTCTGTTCGTTTCGGCGTTTATTGTCAACTTCCTTGTCCTGGACGGACGAAGCAATTATCTAGAAGGTGCTCTGCTCTGTGCGGTGTACATCATCATTGCTGTTGTAGCTTTCTTCTATCCCGATGACGGGAAAGCCAGCGAGTGGGGTGGGGGCAGTTAGTCTGCGTCATAGAAACTCGGTCGGTGAGGGCTGAGGATGGGCTTTACTTATATCAAATATCGCGAGTAGTAACAACATGGGCTGAGATGCCCAGCAGTAGTTAGCACAACTTACAAAAGGAAAAGAATAACTCAAATTGACAAGATAACCCAATGTTTGGAAGCAACAGTAATACCTATAGTGACCTAAACCAATGCAATTAATTGACATATCATGCCCTGGGTATTGGCGTATCGCAACCCAGCATTCTGCCTCGTGATACCACCAAGGGCTGTGTAAGCTCAAAGCGGCGTGGTGTTTGTGGAAATTAAGCGGCACAGCCACTACTTTAAACCAACATGATGTCAACAAAGGAGGTCAAAAGGCTAAAGGAAACATGTATAGACTTCCTTCATAAACCCTCAATTGCTCACCAACAACCAATTTTGGGTAATTCTTTGCTCCTTAACCCTGGATCCTGCTTGGTTTAAGCTTATATGTGGTCGCAGGTGTCCACTTTTGAATCCCTGCTAAACATCGTCATGTGTGCTTGAGGGCCTACACCTAATTTCAACAACAACAACAACAACAACAACATCATCATCATCATCATCATATCAACATGTGTTTCGGAAGCAAGAAAGAGACGAATAATGACCCTGCGCCTCGTCCTGCACAGAGGCCGGCATCTTCTCAGAGTCAAGGAGATGTAAAGAAGAGCAAATACAACCCTCAAAATGACCCAAATCAATATGCTGGAGAGTCTAGCTATTCTGCGCCCCCAGGGCCTCCCACAGACAGAAAACAGGCCTCGGATTTTGCACCACCTCCGGGACCACCACCTGGTCAATCTTCATCACAACAATATTCTGCTCCTCTAGGACCACCGCCGGGCAAGGCCGCAGCGCAGTATGATGCACCTTCATACTCTGCACCTCCAGGTCCTCCACCAGGCCAAGGAGATTACGCGCCACCATCTGGACCTCCTCCCAAGCATGATTGGGAGGTGGCAGTTCCGGATACTTCACTGTTCCCTCCACCACCCGCTATCTTCAGCGGCTACGATAGATCTCCTACGAGTAATGCTACTGAGGAAGAGGCCAACGCTGGCGAGGACTGGTGCCAGTCATATCCATTGACAGCGCCCATTAACTTAGACCAGACTGGAAAGACAGCTCTCCGGGCGGGCAACATTCGCCTCATGGAGCCCGTGGGCTTCAGTGGTAAGCTCACTTGGATGGAACCAGGACATTGGCAAGGTTGGAGTAAAAAGAACTCACCTGACCGTTGCATTATTGGTTACCCACCTCTCTACTCAGTAACTGAGCATGACCCTATTCGCCTCGGCCAGCCCAAGACTATCTACTACGAAGTTAAGCTTGCCCGCGACAGCCCTGAGGTATTCATCGCCCTGGGTTTCACCGCGCTACCCTATCCTTCATTCCGCATGCCAGGCTGGCATCGCGGAAGTCTAGCAGTACATGGTGACGACGGACACAAATACGTCAACGATCGCTGGGGTGGCCGCGATTTTACTCAGACTTTCAAGCGTGGAGAGACTTATGGTATTGGCATGACCTTGCGTTCTGTTGGTGGACCTAAGCCGCAGGTTGATATCTTCTTTACGCGCAACGGTACGATGACGGGTGGGTGGGCGCTCCATGAGGAGACTGATGCTGAACAAGATTTACCGGTTACAGGATTGGAGGGTTTCCATGATCTAAGTTGTGCTATTGGAACGTATGATGGGATTAAGTTTGAAGCAATGTTTGAGCCGTCAAAGTGGTTGTATAACCCGTTTCAGTTCTAAGCTTAGAACGAGCTGGGTATGGCCAAAATGAATTGTTCGTTGGATTTTGAAACTATAATAGATAGTTCTTGATTGTAATAAGTAAGCGATTTCTTGTTGCCGAGCTCCCAAAAAGATGATTGGTTTCATCTCAACACTCCCTTTTATGGTACTGCTGTGTCGATGTTGGTTAGTATGGATAGTCGAGGTCCTTGAATGGTACGACCAGACTAGTTTGGCCAAAGCAGTCAACGCACACTATTAACATCTTCTTGAATTGGTCATTGATGCAAAATTCACAGACTTGTAGATCAAAATAGTTCCTACCTATCGAAGGTTAAAGGCACCTGTAGGGCATCTACCTACTAAGCCAGTGTGGTGTAGGTTAAGTTTACATGCATCTAACGGGACAGGTACCCCCATATCTACAACCCCACCACTGACCAAAGCATCGCGACCGATCGTGACTTGGTGATCAACACCATCGCACATTAACATTTCTATCGCAACCTATAACATGGAGGTCGATAGCGATAATGGACCTCTCACTCTTTTCGCCACGGGCGCTGCTGTGGAAAAGTAAGTTCCTCGACCCGGATGCACGCATGTAGACATGAAAACCTGACCGCAATAGGGACGTCTGGCCTGCTGTGCGCAGTGACATAATTGCCAGACTTGACAAGGTACTACCACCGGTCGCTTTGCGATTGCTTCGACCTAGAGACTGACTGCTTCAGATTGCGCACAACGAATTCCCCATCCCTAAACTACCGCCTCCACCACCGGCTCACCAGCCTCCTGTCGAGGTGCGAGCATCTGCGCCCTCGTCACCACAAGCCGAATCGTCTCAAGAAACGAACAAGGAAACTTCTGCAACCGAGTCGCTTCCAGCTACGCAAGTCATCGATGGCGCGCTACCCAAGCAACTGGCCGATATGGTCATTGACATCACGAAACACCTCGAGACCTTTGAGACGCACCCCCCACACACCATCCAGCGCCTTGCCGAGCTGATCTTACGACCCAGAGCGCATTACAGAGCAGTAGCGCCTTATCTACATGCCGTTGATCGCGTAGTCCAAGTGACATCGAGCACGAAGACATATCCCCTGCCACCGCCTATTCCTGACATGTCTTCAATGCATTTGAATGGCGAGGACCCCAAGGATCCGGCAGTCTCAGTCTCATGGAGCAACCCTACAACGGCAGCACTGGGCACAGATGAAGCGCTAGGAGGAGCACTGCTAACGCCTATTCCTTGGTTGACGAGGCGCAGCCCGGAGAGTTCACAGGACACCCCGGGAGCCCAAATTCACAGCGAAAGCACCGAGACCATCGAGGGTCCCAATGGAGTGGGAAGCATCGAGACAGTTTCAGTCAGCGTCAACGGAATTCCATCTACAGGGCATGCACGAGGGGTCACACAAGGAGAACTCTTACGCCAAGAGCAAAGAGCCGGCGTGGTCCCCGTCAGCCAACTGTCAAGAGCCCAAGAAGTGGTTCTTGAGGGAGAACGTATGACGATGGACGACGAAGAGGACGAAGAGCCACGTGAGGAAGAAGACGAGATACCCCATGCCAGAGGACCCGAAGAGATCGGCATGAGCGACACCGGCCCTCAATCCACAACTACGAGTTTCATGTCAGAAGGTAGCATGGGGATGCAAGGGATCGATGTCGAGGCGGCAGTTGGCAGGAAACATGACGATGACGAGGAAGGCAAGGTCGATGTGGACGCTGATGGAGATGCTGAGGGTGAGAGTGAACCCAAGAGCCCTGGCGCAGAGAGCGTAGGCTCCAAGAGGGAGGCAGACGAAGACCTTGAAAGCGAAACCCACAAGAAGCTAAAGGAAGAGGAAGAAGAAGACAAAGCCGAGGACGACAAGAAAGCTGATACAGCGGCTTCTGATGTTAAGGAAGAAGAGAAAAAGGGAGAGGAAGCCAAAGCTCCAGCGAGCCAGACGAAGTCAGAAGCCGATGACAATAAGATGGATACCGAATAGCAATCTATCCGCCTCAGAGCGCTTCATGATGAGACGAATCTACAAATCCTGGAGTTTTGATTAATTTTTTTGAATTACATAGAAGGCGTACTTGAGCATTTATCCCCTTACGGGAATATAATGCCGTTTATGTTTAACCTTGAATCACATGGGATCTAATCAAAATCAAAGTGTCTTATGATGACAACGGAAATCATGATACTCGCACCCAAGACATGAAATAATGGCCTATCGTAACATGACTTTGACCGCTTTTAGTGAGAGTTCCATTGAATGTGAACCAGGATAGCGACCTAGTAAGAGCTAATGGTTGCTGGTTGTCGTGGCAACAGACGCCCTAGCTTGTGTTGACCCTAGCCCGTTCCACCGAAACATGGTTAAACAGCTGTACTATTTACTTTACTTTACCTTATGCCAAACAGCCCTGCCACCATCATAACCAAGACCATATGCAGGCATCCCCTCCTTACACTGTCAACGTATTCGAGGTTCTACAAGTTTCAAACATTTTTGCTCCTTTAGTTTCATACTCGATCAAGCGAATGTGCAGCGTCTGAAGCATCCTCGAGGCTTCTTCTACAGCCTTCAACACCAGACTCAACTCGATAGAAACTCAACCACAAAAAGTTGCCCATCGTGGCTCCTCCACGCCCAACCCGCTCCGATCGGGAGCACAGCCGCATCGCCATGGCTCCAGGCGTGCGCGCTGCTACCGCCAACAGCAGCCGCTCCAGCGTAAGAGCTGGGTCAAGAGCACCACCGACACGATATGGCTCATCGCTCGCGACGCGCAACGGCGCCGTATCGCCAACTGGATCTATCGCTTCAGTGAACACTGTTAATACCATCGGAACTAAGCGCAAGGAGCGCGACTTTGAGGCCGAGTCTAGCGCCGAGGAGACGAATATCCAGGTCGTCGTGCGATGTCGTGGACGCAACGAGCGTGAGGTCCGCGAGAACAGCAATGTTGTTGTTACGGCAGATGCAGTCAAGGGAAAGATTGTCGAGTTATCAATGGGCTCCAATGCCTTGAGTAACCGCTCATATAATTTTGATCGCGTCTTTTCTCAGGCGGCGGATCAAAACATGGTTTTTGATGATACAGTAAAGCCAATCCTGGACGAGGTGGGTTGAAAGAGCATACGGGACACAAATTTAGTCACTAACTGTCTTAGATGCTTTCCGGATATAACTGCACCATCTTTGCCTATGGACAGACAGGCACAGGAAAGACATATACCATGTCTGGTGACATGACCGACACTCTGGGTATGCTCTCAGACGAAGCTGGTATCATTCCCCGAGTCCTACAGACCCTATTCAACAAACTCGAGCTTGAAAATGCCGAGAGTACGATCAAGTGCTCCTTTATTGAACTTTACAACGAAGAACTCCGCGATCTGCTTTCATCTGACGAGGGCAACAAGCTCAAGATTTTCGACGACACTTCACGACGAGGCCATCTCAGCACCATTGTTCAGGGCATGGAGGAGAAGCACATCAAGAGCGCTACCGAGGGTGTCAAAGTGCTCCAGGACGGCAGTTTGAAACGCCAGGTTGCTGCTACAAAGTGCAACGATCTAAGTTCTCGCAGTCACACGGTCTTCACCATTACCACATATGTCCGAAAGCCAAACGAGCACGGCGTGGATGCTCTTGTTAGTGCTGGAAAGCTGAACCTTGTCGATTTGGCTGGAAGTGAGAACATTCAGCGATCAGGAGCTGAAAACAAGCGTGCTGCGGAGGCTGGCCTCATCAACAAGTCACTCTTGACTCTCGGTCGAGTCATCAATGCGCTTGTGGACCGTAGCTCTCATATTCCCTACCGGGAGTCCAAGCTGACTCGTTTGTTACAAGACTCACTCGGTGGTAGAACAAAGACTTGCATTATTGCAACCATTTCTCCCGCCAAGAGTAACCTGGAGGAGACCATATCAACACTCGACTATGCCTTCAGGGCCAAGAACATCAAGAACAAGCCCCAGCTCAACCCTATGGTCGAGAAGAAAACACTGCTCAGGGACTTTACTATGGAAATCGAGAAGCTCAAGAGTGAGCTCATCGCTACTCGCCAACGCAACGGTGTCTATCTCTCGAACGAAGCCTACGAAGAGATGACGGCCCAAAGCGAATCTCGCCGCATCGTCAATGAGGAACAGGCTGCCAAGCTTGAGACCCTGGAAAACAACTTGCGCAACAAGGTCCAGGAGCTGTTCAGCCTACAGTCTACGTTCATGGGACTAAAGAAGGATCACGAGGGCACAAAAGCCCAGTTGGACGATACCAAGGAAGTGTTGGACCAAACCGAGATTGTTCTTTCTGCAACACGGAAGTCACTTGCCGAGGAAACCAAGATCAGAAAAGCACACCAGAAGACAGAGCAGAAGCTCACCGAGGTTGGCGGAGAGCTCATCAACAAGCTGCATAAGACAGTCCGCGATGTTGGTGGTCTCCATGCCAAGAACAAGCGAAAGTCGGATCTTCAGTCGATCAACCGAAACACATGGACAACATCTCAAGATCAGGTCGCTGATGTTACCTCCATGGTCGAGCGTCGGATCAATGAGTTTCAGGAGGAACAGCAAGAACATATTGCAAGCGTCGGACAGCGCATGGAGAACTTTGTAGATGAGGAGCTGCGCAAGCTGTCGACTACACAAACTTTCCTAGATGAGCACTTGAGCACATTCACTCAGTCGAAGAAGGACTTGCTCCAGTCGAAGCAGAAGTCGAAGGAGGATATGGATGAGGTTTTGGAGGAGATCAAAGTTGTTCGTGACACAGTCAAGGAGCGAATGGGCGAGAGCCTGCAGTCTATCTCTCATTCTGCCGAGAGGATAGCGGCAGATATGTTGAATGAGATGACTGCGTTCCACGGACAGGTAAGCTTTTGTGTTATAGCTTCAAAGGCCATATTCTAACCGGTTACAGCTTCACAACTCTTACAGTGCTATTGGTAAAGACTTCAAGTCCACCTTCGAGGATCTTGTTAAGCATATCACTGCTCAGCGAGCTGAGTGCGACAACCTCAAGCGACAGCTCCAAGCAGCAACAAATACGATTGTGCTACAAAATGCTACAATCTCTTCGCGAATTCAAGATGCCCTAGTGGAAGAGCGTCGCCAAGCCGTTGATGAACGTCAGAAGCTCATGAATCAAATAACAGCTCTTATCAACACCCATGCCGACGCTCAGGAGTCACGGCTCCACGACAGAGCTTCACAGATCCAGAAGAGCATCACGGCAACCAGCGCCAACTTGGAGCAGGCCGTCGATACATATGGCGAGGGTATGTCAACGTGGGATGTGAGGGAGGGCGAGCTACTGGACGAGGTCAAGAAGTCTCGTGAGCAGCTCAAGACAAAGTTGAAGGATGACTGGACAGCTGCCAGTGACCACAGCAGCTCCATCCAAGCTACTGCCAAGTCTGTTCATGCCGAGACTGTTCGTGTTGTCGACGAGCAAATCAAGGACCTCGATGTTCAAATGGAAGCGCTAGATGATTTTGTCAGCCGTGCAAAGACTGAGAACGGCCATCACCATGAGTCTCACAGCGTGTCCGTTCAGTCGTTGTCCAGTACTGTCGAGGAGTCTTTCGGAAACATTTCATCGCACTTCAAGTCTACATTTGACCGCGTCAAGAACTTGGGCGAGGAGATGGAGCTCGACCTTGGTGATCTTCAAGACGGCTTAGAGCCACTCAATGATCAGCTCTGCCAACCCCTGGCTAACTTGCGCGAAGACATCACCCGCGCAGCCCTCCAAGAATACCAGCCAACTGGTGAAACACCAGCCAAGGTCCAATATCATTACCCCACTGACCTTCCTCGCACTGAAGACCACGATCTCATCATTTCACGCATCGACGAGGTTTCCACACCAACCAAGGATCGTGACGGGTCTGACAGGGATAACACCATGGTCTTTGCTGACCTTGACTGCCCCCAGAAAATGATGACATCGCCAGTCCGACCTCCGCCGTCTCGCATGTCCAATGCTAGCGCTCCTGAACACATAGGTCTGGCCGGAAGCCTTCGCGAAGTCAACCCCAATGTGCCAAATCACACAACGGGATCAATAGGCTTCGATCCTCGCGCCAGCATTATATCTATGCCCCCTGAGCGCACTTTGCCACTGTTTAAGCGCAGCACGCGTGTGACTCGCAGTGCCAAGAAGGTTGGAGTCAGGGATCCCATCATCTCCGAGGGCGGCGAGAACATGCTTCCTACCGCGCTTGAGGAGAGTCTGTCTAGGAGAAAGAGTCCAAGGCTTAACTGAAAACTCTTATACACTACACTGTCTGTTACTGTTCCTTTGTTTGCAGGGCCTTTCGAATCTGGGAGTTTGGGGCGTTGTAAGGAAGCATCGCTATGTATGGATGGGTTTCTTCATTGTTCGATTCCCAGCACTGTTGGCTAGGGTTTCGTTGCAGGGTTATTTGAGTACTTGATACCCTTTGACTTTTAGACAATTAAAGTAACGAATGCTATTCACATCAGCATGGCCTCTCTTGTCTGCAGCTCCCGTCTGCAGCTCCCGTCCGCACTGTCTTTAAACTACTGCGGTATCAGTTAAACAAGCATCAAGCTTGGGTGGTACATGTGCCTCAGCGTTGTTGATACCAAAATTGAGGCCTTGTATTATAAGCAACATCATCCGGTATGGTGTAGTGGCTAACATTTCGCGCTCTCATAACCTGAGAGATCAGTTCCGCGGAGCCCAGGGTTCGATTCCCTGTACCGGAGTTTGTCTTTTGCTGTTTCTTTTACTTGTATGGAAGTTTTTGTTACCTTTTTACCTCCTCCATTGGGAGCATCTACTAAAGATGGGTAAAGTGAGTAACTGTCAGGTGTGAAATTGTTTATTCTTTTCTGCTGGATATTCATTCGCATTGTACCATGCATGCCGTGAATACCTAATTACTAGGTAATGCATGAATCAACCAAAACCCTTTGCCTTGGTACTAGGCCAGAAGAATGTTGAACAACAGTGGCACTCTG